CAGAAGGTGCCCTGCTAACATCCACGGAAGTTAGCAGGGCACGCGATATTTTATAAAATATCTCCGCGGCAAGACTACTCTTTTCACGGATAAACAACGGATAATTTACAGCAAATTATCAAATAGTTAGTTTGGGTTTAGTTGGTTTCCTTAATTGGTTTTCAGAAGGTGCCTTGCTAACTAATGCTAATATTTTTTGAAATATGTCCGCGGCAAAATTATTCTTTTCATGGATAATTTACGACAAATTATCCGATAGGAATTTTTGCTTTGAGAAAAAGTTGTCCTGCCAACTTCAGAGAGGTCATTTACTCAGATAGCCAGGCAGAAATTTAGGCGCTCTCCACTCCTCGACTAGGTCGCATTTTGTGATGTAATGAGAGGTGTGTTTTCTTCAATTTCGAATCAATTCATCAGTCAATTATGTCACAGTGATACAGGCATTTTCTTACATATAAAAAAAATTAAAGGAAGGAGGGAAATCACACATCGATAAATTCTAGGTGGCCGACCCCTGGCCGGTAAAATTCTTTACTAAGCCGTTTTATTTCCTAGGGTGTAGTCGCGAATTTTTACTTTTAATAAGTTTTAAGGGTTTTTGGTAGGAAAAATTCATGTCTGTGTGGCAACACTGGTAAGAGCAGCGCTGTCTTCGGCTATGCCGAAGGCTTCATACCTTTCATGAAAATCTGAAAATTTTACTTTAACAGATTACTGCATTTGAAATTATTTATATATTCACAGCATGCATAGGTAGAGGAGATAGATATATAAAAAATCATATCTAAACAATCAGAGCTATGGCAAATATGACTTATATAGCACCAATCTAAGTATGTAAACCGGTAATACAATTTAATGGGTTTTGCTTCCTACATAAAGGAGATACATATATCTCAAAAACTGGTATATGAATAATAAAAGACAAAGCTTATGCAGCATAGATTTTAACGATTTTCTTAGTAGACTTATTATGTTATTATTATGAATTGTTATTATTTATAAAATAGCTTACGAAATTTGTCGGTTTTAGCTGTCCAAATAAAGGAGTTTAACAGGAAAACCCCATATCTGAACAATTAGTTGTATGGGAGATATATGTCAAAAGTGACCCGATATTTGAAATTTTCACTGTAAGTATTCTGTTAATAATGAGTGAAAATGGTGCGAATTTTCATGTTCCTAGCTGCATAGATGGAGAAGTTATGGCAAAAAATCTCGTATCTGAACAATCAGTTGTATGGAGGCTATAGGTTATAGCGATCCAATCTTCGCCATTTTCACTGAAAGTAATCTTTTGATAATGTGTGACAACAGTGCAAAATTTTATGTTCCCAGCTACTTAAATGGAGGAGTTATAACGAAAAATCCTTTATCTGAACAATCAGTTTTATGGGAGCTATATGCTATAGTGGTCCGATTCTTCCGGCTCCGACAAATGATTAAAACATTATAAAAATACACCCACCTACCAAATTTCATCCGGATATCTCGAAAACTGAGAGACTAGATTGCATACAAACAGACGGACAGACAAACAGACAGACAGACATGGTTAAATGGACTCAGCTCGACGTTCATTTAAGTATAACATTTTAATGGGTCTATCTCTTCTTTTTCTGGTACTTACAAACATCGGACCAAAGCTATAATACCATTTCATGTTCATGAAAGGTATAAAAATGCTTATCAAATCATAGCAGTAATCTCAGGATAGGATGTGCATACTGAAAGGCATACATATCAAAAGATTCTGCCGAAGTTGCAGCGATCCATGCGCGAAGGATACAGACGAACTATTTCTTAGAGAGTGCTCAGAACTCTCTGAAAACCAACACAAATCCTACCAAATGAAAATTTTCTAGGCATCATAAAAACAACCTTTGCATTTTCTTTAAAAATTAAAGGCATTCATTTTGATCTGGTAAGTAAGCGAAGGTGAATGCTTTAATTAGTAAACAAAATACAAAGGTTCAGATATGAAGACCCACTACCAATGTAAAAAATATTCGTATAATTTACAAAAATACTAATTTAATAGCCATTGGATTTATGGCGTCTGCCTAGAAAATATTTATGCTTATAAGCCAAATAATAACAGCCAATTAAATTTGAATCCAAACAAAAAACGTTGTCATTATTTGTTGTATAAAATATAAAGCCCAAGCAAAAGTTAAATGCCATAATAGCAACAGCTCTGGATATAAAACAAAAAAACTACAATAAACGAAAGCGGAAAGTGGTCATTAAAATGATCATTTCAATAGCAGACAAAATGAAGTTGGCAGATATTTTTAACTCAATAAAGCACGCAAACGAACTAACTAATTCGACTTGTGGAAAGTTCATAAATCACCAGATAAAATAAGATTATGTGCATATGCAAGTATGTATGTATATGCGTAGACATAGTACATATTGAGTGAGTGGCAAAGGTTATTTAACGAGCGTGCGCCATATAATTTGCACGCCACAGGTGAATGTATTTTTGGGCTAGGGTAGCCCATGTTTATACAGCATGCAAGTGTTTTTAATTTTGTGCAACAAACTAAGAAAATCTATACATAAGAGATATCGCGGTAGATACTAAAATATTTATGTACCTTTGACCAAAGACAACCTACATAATTATTTATTTCATTTCAGTCAACAAATAATATTTTCTATGAGTGCCATCAGAAGGTACATCCTTCTAACCGAGCTTAGTCCGTACTATCAGAATAGAGTCTGTCAAACTATATTTTCCGCTCCGCTATCTTCTCCATGCTATTAAAAAGAGAAATGCTTGAAAGGCCTTCTCTGGAGAGCTGGACATTGCCATAAGAAGTGTTGAATCGTTTCAACTTCATCCTCGTCCCGGCAACTACTGCAGAGGCAGTTTGTTGCCATAGGCCATTGATGGACGTCATAATGACGCCGGTAAGAGCTCTTACTGCAGATTTGTTTAGTGTCACTAATTCTTCACTACGACTCTTATTGAGTCTCGGCGACAAGGATCTTGAGATCCCACAGTCGTCCCGTTTGATCCATCCCTTAGCAGAAAATAAATCGGCGGCAGTAGGGAGCTACCCGCTTCGCTAATTTGCATTTCCGACCAGTATCTAGCCATCTCTTCGGCCATTTCGTTCAATTCTATATTGCTTTGTTCAGGAAGCTAGCACAGAGAGGTTTGATGTGACTCAGTCAAGCCAGCGTTGCAGGATATTTTCGAACTGCCACTTTGAACGGATAACTCAGGGCCGAATGACCTAAAGAAAACTTCGAATGAAAACCTATTGTCTAGCTTGGATCCATTCGTGTAAAAATTAATTTCCCCCTTCTCCGTGGTCTTGGTGTTTGCCAATTTCTTCTTGACGTGATGTTCCTTTAAAATAGCCTATCCAAAGTTGATTTATGTACGGAGTAGTCAATATCTTGGTTATAACTACACAAAGTGTGAAGTGTGTGATCCTTCCATAGCGTCATAATTAGTTTAAGCGCTAAAGCGGCACGCGGCGGCCGCGTGTTTTCCTACCAGATTTACTGTAGGCATGTTGGTTAGCAATTCCAGCGCTATATTTGGGATGGTACTCAAAGCAATAGAGATGCATAAAAGCGCCGTTCTTTGGACCTTGCTCAGGAGTTTTAGGTAAGTTGCCTTTTGAGTTGATGCCCACCATACATACATATAATGGAATAGGCCTAATTGCAGAAGGACAAAGCCAATAGCATTATCCTTCGAAGGAATTTTCACACCCTTGAATATTTGCGGAGAGACTGTGTTTCCTTGTGAGTTTGAGGCTTGCAATGCTTCCTACTTCCACGTTCAGGCTCATCAAACTTTTGCGATGCGTATTGTAGAAAACTATTAAACGCTCTGCGTGTCTCTCTTAGTACAAGAAGACCTTCCAATTTTCTCATGTTCCACTTGAGTTTGTTACCTGTAAGCTCATCTTCTTTCTCGTTACCTACTTAATTACTTAGCATTTAGCAAAGATCACTACCCCAACGAGACTTGGGGAAGTTCACTACTTTTCCCGAGCTGAGCATAATGAAATCAAGTGCTTGAATATCGGATTCATACTCAAAGTAGTTACAAATGTATATCTTTAATTGTTAACAGCAGTCGTAAACTACTACTTCGGTTTGAAATACATAAAACTAATCCAAAGGACGGTAGGAACTTTATATCACAAGTTGTTCAGGGTTGCAGCGTAGAACCGAATTTAGTCTCCGCTGTGGGAAGCCCTTCGGTTTATGACACGCTATTAATGCTCATATGCGGTATCTCCTATTAGTATCCAATATTTCAAATTAATCCGTAACTATTGGGTTTTTATAGATAGTAGTGTGACTTAGCGCCGTGCAGTGTTAAGATGGGACTGCGGTGTGACGATGGCCATATTTCAATACAAAAACAAAACATTAATTGGTATTAGTTGATCGCCGTGTCAGTATACGTATATATTTGTGTCGATCTTTACATTAATTAAATGATATATTTTTATTTATATTAACATATACACAAACTCCTTAAAAACTTTTTACGGAAAGACCAAAATTCGTTAGCTCCAAATCTAAATTTGGACCACCCTAATATGCTAGGCTATTAGCTTTACAGGCATAATTTCATTGTGTTTTTAGTCTGGAGACAGAAATAAACACACAATTACGTTCGCTGGCACTTTTTCACTTTTTTTTATTTTTAATTACATACACGAATAACGGCACACCATTTAAAATCAAGCTAAATAGAAGCTTGTAATTATCGAGGGTTTATAAAAAGGTGTGCGAGGTTATCAGAGATACAGTAAATTACAAAAAATGATGCTTAAAATGAGTTTATAATTCTTTATATTTTTTTTTTAACTTTTTGAGTGGGACAATATTAATATAAATTATTTAAAAAGAAAATAAAAATTACCGGTCTATTAACCCAAATTTATTTTATGGAAGGCATGTATGTATATGTATTTTTGACATTAAGTACATATTTATTCAAAAAAATCTTCGGCACTGACCTCTTTCAATAATCCACTACACTTGTAGCTTTTGATTTTCCTTTTCAAATTGTCGCAGCTCGAAAGCAAAATGTTTTGCGTTGAATGACAAATGACAATAGCACACAGCAGTTGTAGGTATGACAGATTGTTACAGACACAAACACAGCTGTTGGGTTTTTATGACAAATTTTATAATTCTAAAAGCTGCAAACACTTGGAAAATTATATATTTATTAACATATGACCGGCATATGTGGCGCACTTTTAAAATTATACGAAATTTTTTCGAGAAATATTTAGCTGGATTTTACTGCATTTGACATCGCACAGAAACACATGTCGCAGATTCTTTTCTTTCGACGGAGCTAAAAAAAAATCACATGAAAGCTGCAATTTTATGAGCAAAAAGTAATTGTAACTTTTCACTAGAAAACAATGTGCTCGGTTTCTCATTCACTTATTGCTGGAAGTCGGCAAATTATTCAATTGATAGATTTCAATTTTCTTTTCACACACCACTCGCCATTATCAATACACTGCAACAATATGGAAAAGCACTGTGGTATTAAAACCGAATTCGTAGCGCCGCAACCGTTATCGTATTTCATGCGCGTCAAACAAGCTGGAGCACCGCAACGAAGCGTATTAAAGGCGCAACTAATGTGTGCGCCTGCAATGAATGTCCAACAAAGCCCCACATGTAAAATATGTGTAGCAGCAAAGAGCAGTAGCTCCGACAGAGAGGCAAAGATAAAGAGAGAGAGAGTGTGTGTGTGCTAGCTGTAGTAAGCGAATGCGCGCATCGAATGAAAAATATGTACTAGTGTTGCCACAAAAAGTTGCCAAATTCCTCAAAAGCGAATGAAAAATCCGAACAAATTACTAAAAATTTTCTTATTTACTATTTACAGGTACTTAGCACAATTGTTCTTGTTTGTATATAATATTTCTGCAATTATATCAGTGCTCAATCTGGTCCTCAAGTCAGCCGTACACATTTTTAAACTACTAAATATACGTTCTACTGAAGCATTAGAAAAGGACTATATTAGTAATTCAGATATAATTTTTCTAATTGGGAAACTTATATGAACTTGAAGAATAGTTTAATTCAAAAACCTTCTGCCTATAATTTTCTGGATCTAATGAAGAATGAATATAAATATCCTTATGATCGAGCAAGTCGTTATCGAGATTTTGCAAGTTCAAAATAAGTTGAAACTAGAACGATGGAATGAAAAAATCGATAATATTTTGAATATTTAGCAACAAATACAGATGTGCTTAAGAGTGAAAAACCCACACACGCGGCTGAACAAACCAAGCGAAATATCCCTTTGTTCAAAGCTATTTATGTTGTATATGGGGGGTTTTGAAGGTTTGACAAGCCATTTGCGGGAAATGTGAACAAAAATAAAATTTTTTTGATTCTCTGGCCGCCATGTTGACGTTTGATCAAACCGCTTACGTTGTGTATTATAAAATCGCCTCATTCGCAACGGAATTTTTACCGAATGAGGACGCAAGAGAAAAATCGAAGAAAACTAAACCCTTTTACATTGTGAACCGGAAGAAAGCTAAAATTCTTTGCTTGGACGAGTCATGTTTGCTTGGTGTATGGCGAAATGGGAAAATCAGGTTTGAAGAATGTTTGAGAAGTCGCTTGTGTGGCGTATTTCGCTCGTTATAAAACTTCGGAGTTTTTTATTCAAAAATTTGCAGAGCGATTTAACAACTCTCTTACGTAAAACATGGTTGCATTTGTTATCTGAAATATATCTAGAGAAATTCTTCAAAAAATACTCAAGCGCTCCCGAAATTCCTGGCGTTTTGAGGAATTACTCATAAAGTGGCAACACTGATACATATGTACCAAAAGGGAAGCGCATTTAAGAGTAAATTTGGTGACGAATGAGCGTCAGTGCCCTCACGAGTAGGATATCAAATATACGAAGAAAGGCAAATATAAATAAATAAATACGAATTATGTGGCGGAACAATTTTTGTGAAAAATATTAAAACACAATTTTTCTTGGAAAAGCATATGTAGTTCGATTATCGCCCAAATGCTATAGATACAACTCTTCCTAACTCGGCGGGCTGCCAAGGCTCAAACAGCTATTAAGTTCCCCAGTTCTTGCGCCTGTTTTTTCTTTTTATTTCTTTTATTTTTCACTCTTTTCAGCAACATATTTTCCTCTCGCTTTCTTGCCATTTTTCTCAATTTGATTGTATTTCTTTTCAGCTATCCACATACTTACAAATTCATGCACTCCACCGCCGAAGCCACAGCTGTCGCCGTCTTGAATTTCGCATTTCAATAAATTTTTATCATTTCACATTACACATTTTGAAGGCGTCGTCACTGCGCAAAGTAGTGCAACAATTTTTAATTGCGCATACGTGTGGCGCGTATTTACCAGCAGCAACAATATTTCGCTTGCTTGCGGTTTCTGATTTCACATTGCCATTCAGCAGCAAGAGTAGTATATACATAATAGCAAAAGCAGTAGCAGCAGCATCGGATCGGCAGGCAATAAAGGCAGCGTCACGTCACAGTGGCCATCGTCGCCGCCATCATCGCATATAAACATCATCGACACTTTGCTGCCGCGGCCACAAATTCAATTCATTTTGTTTTCTTTTTCTTTGGCTGCGTGTTTTAGTGTTTTGGCTGGTGGAGCACGTAATGCGTGTTTTTTNATTTTTCTTTCGCTGCGTGTTTTAGTGTTTTGGCTGGTGGAGCACGTAATGCGTGTATTTTCTGATTCACGCATACAACAAACAGCTTGCACGCTCTCTCGTCTGCACCCTCTCTCTGCCTATTTCACTCGCCCTACAATGAATAAGAGAATTAAAAAGAAAAAAATGTTACCAAAGAGAAAATAGTTCGCTTTCAACACATCATACTTTATCGCCATAACATCCCTGGCCTAGTGTGGGCAACGACAAATTGTTATTGTTGTGCGTTTCAGTGAATTATTTTTATTTGAAGTTTTTTTCTGACTGTTTGTTTTTACTCGTTTCGCTTTGTGCTGCGTTAGCTGTAATGTTGTTGATTGTTTCGATAATGTTGCAGCGCTCTGTTTGCTTTCGGTTACTTCCACTGATGTATGGACTGTAGATTTTGGAGATAGCTAAGTAAGAGGAATTAGTCATCTCGTTTGGTGATTTTTTTTTAAAGTGATGTGTTGTTTTAAAAGTGATTCTCAAAAATCAGCGGGGAAGTCTTTGTTGTGATGGTCATCTTAAACAGCTACGACTCGAGCTTCATACTAAGCTAAGTGCGCTTCTTTCTTAGTAAGTAAATAAGGCAGCCGATAGGAAGCCCAATGGGAAATTGAAGTGAGTATATAACCTCTCTTGCCCAAACGCCAAGAAGGCTCGCTTAGGGAAACGAATTTCGATACGATACGATACGATACCATATCGATACTTTTGGCATTNATCTCTTGCCCAAACGCCAAGTAGGCTCGCTTAGGGAAACGAATTTCGATACGATACCATATCGATACTTTTGGCATTCGATGCCGATATTTTATACTCGATAGTTTTAAAACGATATTTTTTGGAATCGAGTACCAGAACCCTAGTATCGTATTGAATGTCGTAAACTCACATTACAAGGATAATGTTATTAACAATTCTTCCCGATATAAATTGGGCTTTAAAGAGCAGAAATTTGTAATATAGCAAGGATTGCATGTGGTGGAATTTGACCCCACGACCTCGGTATTTTAAGTTAACGCATCAATCTCTACGTGCTGTTACACAATATGTTAGTGTTTGACCGANAAGGATTGCATGTGGTGGAATTTGACCCCACGACCTCGGTGTTTTAAGTCAACGCATCAATCTCTACGTGCTGTTACACAATATGTTAGTGTTTGACCGAGATTCTCCTCCGATTTATCGTGCGCGCCTTAATGTTGTGGCACAAAAGGGGTCCCTACAGTTTTATGTCGACTCTGAACGACGATTTTGATTTAATAGGAGGCTGGTTTTCATTTTCAAGCTTTGCGCACTGCTAACCATTACACCACAGCGGCCTNATTTAATAGGAGGCTGTTTTTCATTTTCAAGCTTTGCGCACTGCTAACCATTACACCACAGCGGCCTATATACGAGATCTATATTTAGATAAATTTTTTAGATTTTGGTATCGATATTTGGAATATCGAGTCTTTTTATTCCGATATTAATGGGTACCCGATATTTTTGAAGCGATACTTTAAATGAGTACCATATCGATACTTTCTGTTCGATATCGTGTCCCTAGGCTCGCTCGACTGGGTACGAAGAGAAATATCTTTGCCTATGGCTGAGTTCCCGTAGATGGGTCAAGAGGGACCTCTACAGGATAAGCAACGACGAACCATAAGACGGACGAAGCTCAGAAGCCTTTGTTCCCCAGAAGGGTGGCTCCCTTGTCTGCTTCTGATCCATATTGGGCGACCGCACTTTTATACCTGCCGGTACATATAAACGAAAAACTTACCACAAGGCTGCAGCTGGACAAACTCCCTCCCGTTGAGTCAGCTTTGTCAGAAATCAGAAGAACCTGAGGGGCCAGCGGCAGCGACGAAAGCACCTCCAGATCTTATCAAAACTGACAAAATGTATCGGAGGAGAAAGACGGGGTATGAAAGCACTCAGCTCCATCACATCGGGAAATCGGAGAGCGTGAAAGTGCCTTTGACTAAATGCGGACTTACTGTTAGACAAATGGTCCTCAGGTTATCGTTGCGAAAGCCGGACGTGAGCAACTGCAACGACTTTCTGGCCAAGAATGAACCAAACGCGGACGAGAATCCGCTTGGGTTCAAATTCAACGGAGTGTACTGACAGAACACAACCCGATCGGTATTCACGCTTTATCGCATCTGTTGGAACGACGTTGAAGAGGACATCGCCACACTTCCCTTAAGCTGTCCGAACACACTCCTTTCTGGGGTTCTGGGCACATCAGCGTACCTCAAGGGTTGTCCCATACGAATTTGGTTCAGTTCCGATTATTATATCGTGAAGAAATGAACGGTACTCCTAAATTTTTATATAAGTTTGACGGCGGTTGTCTTTTTTGCTTAAGAATTACTTGTAACAAGTCTTTAGAGCAAAGTGAAATCGAAACGATTATGGAAAACAATACGATTGCAAGCGTGACTAATAAACTAACTGTGACAAAAGACATCTAACTATGTACCAGGTAAGGGCTACTGAGCAAGCAGAGAGCTGCAATGTAGTTAGCGTAGAAAGTAGAAAATGAGTCCCAACATATGCGAAATTAATGTAGCGTAAATGGCATGCAAAATTAGAAAATTGTGAATAAGTAAATAGTATATTACAAAAAAGAAAAGCTGTCGTTACGCAGCGTGAAACTGAAAAGTAGTACTTGCTATACTAAAAGGTTGTTGATAGGCTGGGAGTTGGCGAGAGTTCAAGCTACAACTCAACCAATGCCGACCCTGAACGAGCACAAAATACTCGGAGTTACCTTCGATAGACTGCTCTCTATCTCGGCACACACAACCTCTATTGTCAAAGAGTACAGAGTAGCAAGAAGGTCCACAAGCCGCTAGCCGGCAGCACCTGAGGTCAAGATAAAGAAACATTGTTGGTAACATACAAGGCAATTGGGCGGCCGG